TATACTCAAATCATTAGTGGTCATTTAGGACAGTCCGAAATGAGTCTGAATTAGTCTTTTGGCATATCCTAAATGCTCATTTGTGATATCCGAAATGACATTTGGAACATTATCTGAAATGCGCATTTGGAACATTATCCGAAACGTGCATTTGGGACATTGTCCGAAATGTGCATTTGGGACATTATCCGAAACGTGCATTTGGGATATTGTCCGAAATACGCATTTGGGATATCCGAAATGTGCATTTGGGACATTATCCGAAATGCGCATTTGGAATAAATACGCATTTGGGGCAAGCGAATATCCCAAATGATCTTCGCATTTGGGATATCCCAAATGCGCGTTTCGGACATCAACGCATTTGGGGTACAACAGGCTCATTCAGCTTGAATAATCAAAAACTTCATGAATCAAGTTCACTTTTAATCGCAATCACAATCAACCTATATAGAGACATGAAGAAGAGTAATAATAGTAAATGAATTTAATTGATTCCTTCATTAATTCTGAACTCTAAGATAAACTTTATGATATGATGTTTGTCTTAAAAAAATACTACTTATAATAAAGTATAAAATAAATATGAAAAAAAAAATTCTATTAAAAGAAATTATTTGGTTCTAGTTCTTGACCTAAGTACGAAATATGACTAGCATAAATTAATAAATAGGGACATATAGTCACGGTTACACAGCAATAGTTTATTACTACATTTTATGTAGAAAGATCAACGTCTTGGAAATCTGAATCCAAAAAAAAATTTATTAAATTCTCATTGAGTTGAGGCTTTAATAGTTTTTATATACTGAAGAACGTTTGTAGTGAACACGTCAGAAGATAAACTATAAAACCTGATTAATGGTAAACAACGATGTAAAGTATCTTCTAATATTTTGAAATCAATTTATAGGATCTGGAACAAGCGTAGGATTTTTGCAAGCCTCATTTTAATTTAAATATTTTTTTCCAATAATATCTATACAAGTTTTTTGAAGTTCCAACAAAGAATTAGAATGAAAGCTTATTCTATGAGTGAGTTCAAAATGTTTTTCCACAATCCTGCTTTATTTTCAATTAAATATTTTGTTAATATCACTTCTTGAAGGAACGACTCAAGCCAATACATTTAAAATTTCTGAAAAATCTTCATTCAATGAAATAGTACATCAGATATTATAAAAATTTAAAGTTATGATAAACAAATAGCTGAAACGCAACAGGGAATAACAGTTAAATGTAACTATCAATTTTCAAAATTTTCTGACGAAACATTTGGTAACTTAATACTTCATCATCTTTATTTTTCTTATTGAAAGTCAGAGTTCGTCGCAAAAATGGAAAACTGCAAAATTAAATAATCATGTACTTTCTCTATATTCTTAGTTCCGGGAAAAATGGGACCTTTTATGATGATCATTTGGTTCGTGGCCTACAATACTGTTCATAATAAAGTAGAAGCGTTGAACGCACTAAGCGGGTAGGTGTGCTATGCCCATGTGCAAGTACTTTCTGACCATCTTCCGCTTAAATGAACCTTTGATAATAAGTTGGTTCAATCCACGACGGTAGAATCCAAAAGAACTAAGTTTCTATGGAAAGAGCTGTAGCATCAACTTCACTACCCAAAACACCGAAAACTTTATTAACAAGTGTATATAATCGCAAGTTCCACATAAATACCATATGGTTAAAACTATTTTTTTACATTCATTAAACATACAATATAATGTCCGATTATCATACGACTAGAAATAGCAAGAGGATTTTTAATAATAGCATCAGCAGTGAATGGCATATTCTCTTGACGATAATTGATTCCAATAGTCCTTTTGATCATAGCGACTTGCGAACTTCTGGAATTCGCGTATTCCATTGACAAAAATTTTATGGATTTAATAATGTTATCAAAAGATGTTTCATTAATATTTCATTTAAATTATAAGATAGAATAGACACTTAGACATATGACATTGACCGCAGACTTATCCTTAGGAATTTCAGCAAGGAATATGTTAACCCAATTTGTATTATGAAAATTTACGCGTGGTTTCGTTTCGCGTCCAGTTGAGCACATTATCTTCAATAATATGATTAGTTGACAAGTAAATCTGTTAGGACTAGTGAACACCAAACTTGGACTAATGAAGATGAAAGGAATTAATAATAATAATACGAGAATAAAGAAAAATAACTTTCCTTTTTGTCATCTCCCAATTAACTTAGTATCTCTAAATCATTGGTAATTATTTGAAATCTTAACGATAAAGGTATTTTGAATTCGCATTTACTCGAAATACACTAATAAAAAATGATAATAGTAATAACGAAATTGTGAACAGATATAATTAAATTTTAAAAACTTGTAACAAAAATACAAAAAAAATAAAAATTTTCACCTTTCTAAAATAAGCAGAACATTTCATTAACACTTTTTTGTATAAAGTGAGAAATAATTAAATCATTAGAGGACCAGCCAGATCTAGGTGCCTTTTTCTCAATCATGTTCTTAACAGAGTAAAATAAGCTTATGTCAAATATCTCGGAAAATATCTTTTAATCAGAAATTTTTATGGGAAGATTCTAAGAAAATCAGGTTCTGGAATTTTTTAATTTTTATTGACTTTAATTTTTGATATTATTAAATTAAATTCAATAAGATCTATATATAATTTTAGTCAAAAATTTCAGAATTTGATTCCTAGAGTCATAATTTCATTAATTATTTTAGTTATTAGATGTAGTGCAATAAAATCTAGAGCAATCTATCTTTTTTTTTATGAGAATTAAATTAACAGTACATTTTGTGATTGATTGGCACGTCACGTGATAGCACAATCTTGAATATTTCAGGATCAAGAGGATTCCAAGAGCAAATGTCCCTTTTTAATAAAAGAAATAGTGACATTTATTAATGATTCAATTTTCTATTAATTTTTATCAAGGGATTAATAAATAAATAATACATCCTTTTACAAATGAAAACAAAGTAAATAATTTATTGATCCTTATACGAATTTTCTTCTCCGGCTAAAGTTCTCGTAACCAATTTCAAGTTTACAGTTCAAACTTTTAACATGGGTTGTGTAGAATTACAAAAATTCTCGCCTCGCTATACTTTCGACGGCGAAGTATATTTACGTAAATGTAGGATAAGCGTACTTGAGCTATTATAACTTTTTCGAAACTGTTTATTTATGATAAAGTAACCACTCTAAAATAAAATGAAATTAGCATTGGATATTATATGTTAAAAGAAATTTAAATATATTATACCTGATCATATGGACTTTCATGATGTTCTTTCAGTTCCTCAAAAGTCAGCTAAAAGGCAAAATTTATGGATGTACCATAACAGGGATCTATTTTAATATATAAGATTATTGTCATCGTAAATTATAATAATCTTGAAATAAAAATTACCTTTTCAAAATATACCGGTTCATCAATCATAGTTTCCTCACATCCTTTGTAATCACTTTGTTGTAATCAATCTCATCAAAGCTGGTTATGATACAAAAAGTTTCATATTGAAAAACAACGATGAGTACCTATACACGAAAAAAAATATTGATTAGTCGCAGTATATATAATATTATAGGATTCGATTTAAGTTAATCATCTTAAGCGAGCTTCATACAATTGTTTTTCATACCCTCAGCCTAAGAAAGTTGTAAATGATGATTATCAAATTCGAAACGTTAGCCTAATTTTTTTTAAAAAAAAAAATAGAAGAAAATAAATTGTAGATAATGTATTACATATAAAAAACAACAAAAAGATATATTAGTACAAATCATAATTTCTTGCCATCTTCAAATCAGAATATTTATTCGTTTGCATTGGAGTCTTCATTTAAACCACGCTCAATAAAGTCATTAAAGAATCCAACTATGTCGTACAATCCTTTATTTTTTGAAACAACTTCCCGGAAATTTGATGAAATTTATAATTCGCTCAGATTAATTTTAATTTTTTTTAAATTTGTTTAATTATTTTAATATATTTTCCTCCAATTTTTTTTACCCTTCACCCAGTCTTTTTTTTTTTAATTATTTCAGTTTTTTATTTACTTTTTTTATTTCTCCTGTCTTTTTTTTAATTTCATTTCTTTATTTATTTTTTTTTATAATTTTATAATTTTTTTTTTTTATTCCTCCCCCTGGTCTTTTTTTTTAATTATTTCATAGTGTATTGATTTTTTTTATTTATTTATTTTTATTACCAAAATCAACAAAATCAACGTATAAAAAATGACATCAAACTTCAACATCAATGTTATTCAAGAATCACGACGCTAATTCTCAATCCAGTATGCCTTTGCTTTAACTGTACACAAAAAAAATCGATGAAACATGTTCTCAACCGGTCAAGTATACGTAGAGCCCCCTCGTGAAACTCTATAAGAATACTCTCCTTCAATTTAAACCCGACGAAGTTCTCACAGAATACAGAAAGTTTAGACACATAAACCAAAAAGGTTTAACAAAATTCCGAACTAATCACTAAATAAAGGACCCGATAAAATAAAAAAAATACATCTGAATATCCGAAAGCTCACGATATATCATAACCCCGATCAGGGATCCCCGCACGTATTCGGAGCGAAAAAGGCTTGTTTAAATCAGGTCATCCAGTTGATTCGGGTTAAGCAAAAACGTGACCATGACCCGGCGGGTTTTTTTGAATTAGGACTTGTGTCATAAAAATGATGGTCCTGACTCAAGAAAAAATTCGAGTCAGGTCAAACAATCCTGGTCAACTCGATCGTTTCAGAACACTACCTGTTAATATAATAATTTTAATTTGCTTTATTGTATTTAAATTTTATTTATTTACCGTATATTGCGGGCCAAAGTACCCCCCCTATGTATAGTACCCCCTCAAAAAATTTTCGCGTGATTTTAAAGT